AACAGCTCAAATAAGCAAAGAGAAATGACAGTCCATCATTACTTTAAGACATGAAGGTCAGTCAATCCGGAAAATTTCAAGATCTTTGATGGTTTCTTCAAGTGCAGTCGCAAAAACCATCAAGCGCTATGATGAAACTGGCTCACATGAGGACTGCCACAGGAAAGGAAGACCCAGAGTTACCTCTGCTGCAGAGGATAAGTTCATTAGAGTTAACTGCACCTCAGACTGCAGACCAAATAAATGCTTCACAGAGTTCAACTAACAGACACATCTCAGCATCAACTGTTCAGAGGAGACTGCGTGAATCAGGCCTTCATGGTTGAAATGCTGCCAAGAAACCACTACTAAAGGACACCAATAATAAGAAGATACTTTCTTGGGCCAAGAAACACGAGCAATGGACATTAGACCGGTGGAAATCTGTCCTTTGGTTTGACGAGTCCAAATTTGAGATTTTTGGTTCCAACCGCCATGTCTTTGTGAGACGCAGAGTAGGTGAACGGATTATCTCCGCATGTGTGGTTCCCACCGTGAAGCATGGAGGAGGAGGTGTGATGGTGTGGGGGTGCTTTACTGGTGACACTGTCAGTGATTTATTGGAGGAGGAGGTGTGATGGTGTGGGGGTGCTTTACTGGTGACCACTGTCAGTGATTGATTTATTTAAAATTCAAGGCACACTTAACCAGCATGGCTACCACAGCATTCTTCAGCGATACGCCATCCCATCTGGTTTGCGCTTAGTGGGACTATCATTTGTTTTTCAACAGGACAATGACCCAAAACACACCTCCAGGCTGTGTAAGGGCTATTTGACCAAGAAGGAGAGTAATGGAGTGCTGCATCAGATGACCTGGCCTCCACAATCACCTGACCTCAACCCAATTGAGATGGTTTGGAATGAGTTGGAAAAGCAGCCAACAAGTGCTCAGCATATGTGGGAACTCCTTCAAGACGGTTGGAAAAGCATTCCTCATGAAGCTGGTTGAGAGAATGCCAAGAGTTTGCAAAGCTGTCATCAAGGCAAAGGGTGGCTACTTTGAAGAATCTAAAATATAAAATGTTTTGATTTGTTTAACGCTTTTCTGGTTACTACATGATTCTATATGTGTTATTTCATAGGTTTGATGTCTTCACTATTATTCTACAATGTAGAAAATAGTAAAAATAAAGAAAAACCCTTGAATGATTAGGTGTGTCCAAACTTCTGACTGGTACTGTATATGTCTTGAGGTAAATGCTGTAAATTAAGATGACTGTGTATTTTGAAAGATGAGGATTATAATAAATAGCGCTTTGATGTTATACAAGCAAGGCAAACACTTGTGAGTCCAAATGTGCACTTCACATTTCGAAATCATAAAACGTGTGTCATATACATCTTCAACGTTTATGATCACTATGTTTGATGTACAGTTGCAAGATGAAATGGCATCATACCCTGGGTTGTTCTGAACAGAATGAGCCTGTTTCTTTATTGTGAAGATAATTTGCCGGGGCGCTGAATGAACAACTCACAACGCTCACAACTGAATGCTCTCATGACTCCTTTCTATGCGCACCAAAATTACGATCTGTTTCTCTGAATTACCTTGTGAAAGCTGAACACTGTAAGATCGTATTTTGTAACTTAGCTAGTCATGTTGGCAATAGAACAAGCTTTCAAATATTGCCGAACTGACGCAGATTGCGATTTATAATGGACTGTTTTGGGATTTTTTTTAAAACAACAGTAATTGTGTGAAGGCGGGGATGCGGGGTTGTGTTCCAAATGAAACGACTACAATGTGCTTGCTCTAGTTCCTCAACCGCATTGTTAGAAGAGCTAAAAAAAAAACTCTGAGTCAGAATCAGAATCACCTTTATTCGCCAAGTACATTTACACATACTCAGAATTTTACAAGGTAATATGGTGCTGCTTGTGATAGACAACAGTTAGAGACAGAATACAGACATCGGAGTTTAAACAAAGTTTACGTACATTCTATACAACTAGGTAGAGTGAGCATAGAGCTATGAGAATGAGCAGATATACAAATATACAGTGGGTATATGGTTGATATACAGTGGATGTACAAATGTACAGTATCAGTATGAATATATCTAAATGCAGAGAGATTAACAGAGTGCAATGCAGTATAGTGCAGTTATTTTGTTTACAGTTCTGAGATGGCTTGATGCGGTGCGCAGCAGAGTGCATAGTCCTTTAGTCATAAAAGTGCATTGAAATTGCTTAGGAACTGTGCACACTTTGGAGAGGTGTGTGGCCACTTGGAGACACTAGTTAATCCTGTCACTTAAAACCTTGTAATTTGTTTGTCTTATGTTGCGCCTACCCCACATTTTCCAGGAATAGTCTTATCATGTTACTAAATGTATCCAGAGTGTTTTCAAAAAAGTACAGTAAACGTAAAATGCACATAAAATCAACAGTGTAATGTTTGGATTCAGTCTTGTGTCAGGTGAACTGTTGTGTACTCACCTTTTGGTCTAATAATTTTCAAATTTTCTCCAAACTGTTCCCTTTCAATTGCTACCATGGTTATGCATATGCTTGTCATATTTCTTCTGTAAGAAACATTTGAATTTAGCCCTATCCATATAGGCCAATTTCCATGAGTGTAAAGGGTTAACAATCTCTCTAGTATAGGCTACTTATCATAATACATGCATTTTCAATTTATCGTCCCAGCTATAACTCACACACATGTTTGTTTTACTATGCTTGTGAGGACTTTTTAGGAACCAACAATTGATACCATTCAAAATCCTATTTTCCCTTAACCTAAAATAGCCCTTTTCCTTTTGAGGACCGGCAAAATATCCTCACTTTTCAGAATTGTCGTTGGTTTACTATTTTTGAACTTCTGGTTCTCACTATTATAGTTAAACAGTTACACAGACACACACACACACACACACACACACACACACTAATTGTGCTAATTGAACACAACGTTATGTAATTTCAGTGTGAAAGCAACAAAATAGAGACATACCCTTAAAACCACATAAGCAAATATCTAAGCAAACAGATGATGGTTCCGTTGCATAGCTATTAGCTACCCATTGTCACTGCATGGTAAACCTCATGAGCATTGACTACTCATGTCAGGCTAGAAGTCAGATGAGGAGAAAAAAGTATTTGATCCCCTGCTGATTTTGTACGTTTGCCCACTGACAAAGAAATGATCAGTCTATAATTTTAATGGTAGGTTTATTTGAACAGTGAGAGACAGAATAACAACAAAAAAATCCAGAAAAACGCATGTCAAAAATGTTATAAATTGATTTGCATTTTAATGAGGGAAATAAGTATTTGACCCCCTCTCAATCAGAAAGATTTCTGGCTCCCAGGTGTCTTTTATACAGGTAACGAGCTGAAATTAGGAGCACACTCTTAAAGGGAGTGCTCCTAATCTCAGCTTGTTACCTGTATAAAAGACACCTGTCCACAGAAGCAATCAATCAATCAGATTCCAAACTCTCCACCATGGCCAAGACCAAAGAGCTCTCCAAGGATGTCAGGGACAAGATTGTAGACCTACACAAGGCTGGAATGGGCTACAAGACCATCGCCAAGCAGCTTGGTGAGAAGGTGACAACAGTTGGTGCGATTATTCGCAAATGGAAGAAACACAAAATAATTGTCAATCTCCCTCGGCCTGGGGCTCCATGCAAGATCTCACCTCGTGGAGTTGCAATGATCATGAGAACGGTGAGGAATCAGCCCAGAACTACACGGGAGGATCTGGTCAATGATCTCAAGGCAGCTGGGACCATAGTCACCAAGAAAACAATTGGTAACACACTACGCCGTGAAGGACTGAAATCCTGCAGCGTCCGCAAGGTCCCCCTGCTCAAGAAAGCAGATATACAGGCCCGTCTGAAGTTTGCCAATGAACATCTGAATGATTCAGAGGAGAACTTGGGGAAAGTGTTGCGGTCAGATGAGGCCAAAATCGAGCTCTTTGGCATCAACTCAACTCGCCGTGTTTGGAGGAGGAGGAATGCTACCTATGACCCCAAGAACACCATCCCCACCGTCAAACATGGAGGTGGAAACATTATGCTTTGGGGGTGTTTTTCTGCTAAGGGGACAGGACAACTTCACCGCATTAAAGGGACGATGGACGGGGCCATGTACCGTCAAATCTTGGGTGAGAACCTCCTTTCCTCAGCCAGGGCATTGAAAATGGGTCGTGCATCGGTATTCCAGCATGACAATGACCCAAAACACACGGCCAAGGCAACAAAAGAGTGGCTCAAGAAGAAGCACATTAAGGTCCTGGAGTGGCCTAGCCAGTCTCCAGACCTTAATCCCATAGAAAATCTGTGGAGGGAGCTGAAGGTTCGAGTTGCCAAACGTCAGCCTCAAAACCTTAATGACTTGGAGAAGATCTGCAAAGAGGAGTGGGACAAAATCCCTCCTGAGATGTGTGCAAACCTGGTGGCCAACTAGAAGAAACATCTGACCTCTGTGATTGCCAACAAGGGTTTTGCCACCAAGTACTAAGTCATATTTTGCAGAGGGGTCAAATACTTATTTCCCTCATTAAAATGAAATCAATTTCTAACATTTTTGACATGCGTTTTTCTGGATTTTTTTGTTGTTATTCTGTCTCTCACTGTTCAAATAAACCTACCATTAAAATTATAGACTGATCATGTCTTTGTCAGTGGGCAAACGTACAAAATCAGCATGGGATCAAGTACTTTTTTCCCTCACTGTAGCTAATAATCAATAGTGAATCAATAGCGTTCTGTCCAGGGGGTGCACTGGTACATCAAGCTGCCTACATCAAGCTGCCTCACGCTACAGAAACAGGAAATATGCTCCTGCCCTATTAGCCTTTCTGTCTCGAACAAGGTCTGTTGTAATAATGTATCTTCCTCTCTCTGTCTCCCTTTCCTAAGGCCAGGTGGATAAATACCTTTAAAAACCTTCCAGTTATATCTATCTTACGCTGTTGTCTTCTTCTCTCTCTCCCTCTTAAAGGTGGATAAATTCCTGTACCACCTGCGATTATCGGACGAGAACCTGATGGACGTGTCTTTGAGGTTCCGGAGGGAGATGGACAAGGGGCTGGGCCGAGACTCCAACCCTACGGCCGCCGTGAAGATGCTGCCCACGTTTGTGCGCTCCACCCCTGACGGGACAGGTGAGCGGGTCGGGGGGAGGGGGTCTGACTGACATCTGCTGAGTAATTTTTTGTATTTACGTTGTGTCCCAAATGGCACCGCATTCCCTTTAAAGTGGGCCTGGCCAAAAGTACTAGTCAAAAGTACTGGTCAAAAGTAGTTCACTATAAAGGTAATAGGGTGCCATTTGGGACGCAGACTTAAACTTTATTTAATCAGGAAGTCCTATTGAGGTCAGAAGACTTCTTTCTTCAGGGAGGCCTGCAGAAATCTCAGTACATCCATGCCACAGGCCCCTCTTAGAGTTCATAGAGACCCATGCCTTGCCTACTAATGCACAATGCACTGTACAGGAATAAGAAAAATTGCACTCCTTGTGGCGGGCCGGGCGCATGCACGCTGACTTCGGTCACCAGTTGTACGGTGTTTCCTCCGACACATTGGTGCGGCTGGCTTCCGGGTTAAGCAAGCAGTGCGGCTTGGCAGGGTCGTGTTTCGGAGGACGCATGGCTCTCGACCTTCGCCTCTCCCAAGTCCGTATGGGAGTCGCAGCGATGGGACAAGACTGTAACTACCAATTGGATATCACGAAATTGGGGAGAAAAAGCGGTAAAAAGTAACAAAAAAAAAAAAAGAAAATTGCACAATCCTTCAATAATTTCGTCTTGGTAACTTGCTTAGATGAGTGCAGGCTGGTAAGAAGTTTTGAGTGACAGTCATTTAGATGTCAAATGAGAGAATGGTGGTGAAAAGCACATAGAAATCCTGAAGCTGTGTGTCTCAGCTGCAGAATGTGACCTGTGTCAGTGACCTGTGTCAGAATGACACCGCTAGGCCCTGTTAAGAGCCATAGATGGATATATATTTATAGCTATATGACTCTGGCCCCATCTAATGTGGTTTATTTTATTTAACCTGTATTGAATGAGGAAGTCCCATTGGTGTCAGAATACCTCTTTCCCAAGAGAGACCTGGCCTTCAAGCCTTCTAATGCACTGTAATTGGAATCTTCAAGAAACAGCACAACCCATGCTTAGAAATATTTCACCTATGGACTGATTGCTGAGATGAGAATAGGATGTCAGGGAGTTTTTTAGTTTGACAGCCCAGTAGATCAGGATTTCTCAATCTTGGCCCTAGTTTCTCAATCTTGGCACCTTTTTGTTTTTGCCCTAGCACTCACCCACTTGATTCAACTAATCAACTCATCATCAAGCCTTTGATTTAAATCAGGTGTGTGAGTGCTAGGGCAAGAACAAAAATGTGCACCCCTTTGGGTCCCCAGGACCATGATTGAGAAACCTTGCTCTAGATGAACCCTTAGATAATGAGAGTATGCTGGTGAAGAATGGCACATAGAAAATCTGGGCTCTGTTACAATATCCATCCACACTAGCATACCACTTAGACGGAAACAGTGAATTGGGCATGCACTCTAGGAGGGTTTTGTCTAGAAGGGATACAGCTTTTGTCAAAATTGACTTTTTGTTGCAGGTTAGAAGAACTTACGCAGCAGGTTAGGAGAATTAACGTAGCAGGTTAGGAGAATTAGGTTAAGGTTAGGAAAAGGATTAAGGTTAGCTAAAATGCAAAAAAGAAAATCAACTTTTGATGTAATTTTGACAAGCTATATACCATCTAGATATTACACTCTAGCGGTAGGCCTATGCTGCATGAACACTGAAATGTGAAGCTTTGAGTCCCAGCTGCGTTTTCCTTTGAGTTTGACCTGTGTTAGTGACTGAGACCGGGGCATATCAAAAGTATATCAGGTGGCATATCAAAAACCACTTTCAGAGACTGGGGAAGGTGATTTATCAAAAGTAACTGGAGAGGAACGGTAAATGTGAATTGCAGAGGAAATGCAAAAGCGCCCAGGCAAAACCTCTGTTTGCTCAGCCTGTTGACTCTGGTCATTATTGGCACATTAAACCCCAACCTAGCAGACAAGTGTCTATCCAGCTGAACCACTGTTATGTCTCCCTCCCTCTATCTCATCACTCTCACTTTCTCTGCCTCTCTCTCCTGTCTCTCATTCTCTCTCTCTCGCTCTACTGACTAGTGTTGCACAATATACCGAAACTTCTGTACTTTTTTAAAATACTAAAACATGAAAAGCGGTTCGGTACTAGAATTGTTGTTACTTTCAGTACTTCTGTCAAATGTGTCTCACATCATATATGGATTGAGAGGATTGAGTCTGTCGAAGATTCAGAAAAATTACTAAAGGGGGCAGTAGCTAGCCAGGCTGCGCTTGCACATGCAGCTGACACCGCGCAAGCCACTTAAGAAGCAAGCAAGAAGAGCATGGCTTCTTCAAACGTAAACTTCATACCTCCACGGCCACAGTTTTTATTATAGCTCAGTGCCCGCAGCTTGTTGACAAAACTGGCTGCAGAAGCGAACTATGGGAATACTTTGATTACAGAGCAGATGAGGGCCAGCCCACCAAAACAACTAAGCAAAAGGTGTTACAAAGCAGTACAGTGCAGTTTATTAGGCTATAGATTAAATAAGTGATGAACTTCACAGGGTGGCAAAGTGATGAGCTTGATGCTCCTTTCCAATAAATATCGAGGGTCTTATTCTGGTAACATGATCGATGCTTGGTTGCAGTTTGACAAATACAAATAACACTCTTATCCATAATAATCTCATAATGTAGGTAGTCTACCTGCACTGTATCTGCCAGTTGTTGGCAATAGCGCATGTGCCAAGACCAGAGTGGGTACATTTGCTATATAACGCAACAGTTTTTGTGACATAACCATCAGTAGAGTTCAAAATGCGATGGAAACCTATTTTACTTGTATTTATATTCGGTACATGGGAATTTAACATAAAAAGTTATTTTTATGTGCACTGTCATCAAATAATCAAAGCTTGATGATGAGTTGGTTATTTGAATCAGTTGTGTAGTGCCGGGGAAGGGGTGGGGTGGGGGGGGGGGGGGGGGCTGCTGTAGACTAAATGTCTATGGTAGACTATTGCAATATAGAAGCTTCAATGTGTTTTTTTTTATGTTGTTTTGGAACTAAACTATTCATTTAATATATTAAACCATTTAGCTGTAATGAATAATGAATTATACTGTAGGTCTAAGGAATGTCATTTGACCCAATATTATGGCCATAGATGAGCAAATTAACTCTGTATCAAATTATATTTTAAAACAGTTTAGATGTAATTGTACAATTATTTTGTCAGCTCTGAGTCTTCTATATGGTTTTGTATGAGGAAAATTGAAGGTATTCTTCTGTTATTTAATAGTGTTTTATTTTTGCAAGGAATTGAATATAGAATATATATTTTATTTGTTATTTTATTTGTTCTACCAGTTATCAACATATTGTTCAATGTTTAAAAAATATGTATTATGATACTATATGTATCGAAGACAAATCTGAAGACACACTACTCTCTCTCTCTCTCTCTCTCTCCTTCCTTCCTTCCTTTCTTCCTTGGCAAAAGATGTCTACATGTTATGGTTTTCTTTTCTATCTAAATTATGTGGTTAGCCATTGATCATGTAAACCTCACTTTGAAAATGACATTTAAATGAAAAGGATGTTGAAATGTTGAATGTTCGGTAGGCTATTCACTCAATTTATTTATATTTATTTATTTCACCTTTATTTAACCAGGTAAGCCAGTTGAGAACAAGTTCTCATTTACAACTGCGACCTGGCCAAGATAAAGCAAAGCAGTGCGATAAAAAACAACACATATGGGGTAAACAAAACATAAAGTCAAAAATACAACAGAAAATATATATACAGAGTAGCAAGTTATGGAGGTAAGGCAATAAATAGGCCATAGTGCAAAATAATTACAAGAAATGTGACAGGATTCAAAACATATTTTATACTTGTTTATTGCATTGAATAAAACCTTTTAGTTTAGCAATTAACATTTTATGTTGGTTGTCTGGTTGTTATGCAATAAGGTCAGTCCATTGAAAGATTCACCACTTTATATCTCATAAAAATTGTAGAAGGCCATGGGTATGTTATTGGCAATGGGTGAAAGACATCACTTTTCAAAGAGGACTCGGATGGTACGAAGAATCCTACTGCTTCATGGTCAAAGTCCTCTCAGTGGTTGTAATGAAATTCGTTTTAGTCTCACCCATGATTACCCCTGCTCCAATCAACATTATTGCTGCTCATGGTCATATCTATTGCAGCTTTGTAGCTTTCATAAAGACTGTGGTAGAAACATATACACTTTTTATAAAATAGTACTATGATAAGAAAAAGATTATTAGGCCTAGTTGTGGGACATTCTTGGATTTATTGTTGTCGTCCTCCATATAAGCTGTTTGGAAGACTTGTAGTATATAATTTATTTACCCAGACGAGCACCACATTCCCACTTAAATATTTGGTAGCGCATACCTGTTTTCTTAACCATGTCCTTTGCAGTTAGTAGACTTAGTACTGTGTGTGTGTGTGTGTGTGTGTGTGTATGTTTTTTATATCTATTTTTTTTCTTGCTTTACAGCGTTCTTGAGTATGTGTGTTTTTTCCCTGACTCCTCCAGAAAAGGGAGACTTCCTGGCTCTAGATCTGGGTGGGACCAACTTCCGGGTCCTGCTGGTGAAGGTGTCTGACAACGGGAAGCAGAAAGTGGAGATGGAGAACCAGATCTATGCCATTCCTGAGGAGCTGATGAGGGGAAGCGGCACAGAGGTGAGAGGAGAAGGGGGATGTTCATTTCAATGGACTTCAGGAATGACTGTTAACTGACCTAAATTCACACAGAAAATCCCTGCAATGGGCCAGATGCTTGACTTTTGACCTTATTACTGTGACCTCTTAAAGAGCCAATCAGGAGTTGAAACAATAACAAAGCAAACTCCCCACCACTGTTTCGGTAAAAAGCTGAGAGATGGGGCTGGAGAAATGTAATCACAGTTAAACTAATAAGCTCATGAGTTATTTATAAGTTATATTCTTCAAGAATCAACGGGTACATATAATTAATTTATAAGTCAAAAAATGGATGTAGCAACTGCTGATTGTCCCTTAAAACACTTTGCCTCAACGTTCAGACCAAGCAGTATCAATGTCGGTAGGTCTGATTTATGACATTTGTATGACATGCTGGGAAGAACATCTGGTTCTGGAATAGGTGTTTTGTAGGTATTTCTAGGTCTAACTGTGTTGGTAAAGAATCTCTGGGAAGTACGGAGGCTGGGTCAAGTTCAGTACGCGCAAAATAGAGAACTGAAAATAAAAACGTATTCAACAAGTACTAATTACCTCTTCATAGCAGACTTCGAAAAGGCATTTGATAAAGTACGACTGGGGTTTATATATAAATGCCTGGAGCATTTCAATTTTGGAGAATCTCTTATAAAATGGGTTAATCATGTTTTCTTTTAAATCCATAACTTGAATCCCTCCAAAGCCTCAGAGGATCTAGAGACATTTTCTAACCTCTCTGGATTACAACCAAATTATGATAAATGTACTATATTACGTATTGGATCACTAAAAAATACATTTTTTTTACATTACCATGTAGTTTACCAATAAAATGGTCTGATGGTGATGTGGATATACTCGGAATACATATCCCAAATGAAATAAGTGATCTCACTCCAATAAATTTTAATAGAAAGTTAGCAAAAATAGATAAGATCTTGCTACCATGGAAAGGTAAATACCTGTCAATTTGTGGGGAAAAATCACCTTGATTAACTCTTTAGTATTATCCCAGTTTACCTATTTGCTTATGGTCTTGCCTACGCCTAGCAAACAGTTTTTTTAATTATATGAGAAAAGAATATTCCATTTTATTTGGAACGTTAAGCCAGACAAAATTAAAAGGGCCTATTTATATAATGAATATGAATTCGGAGGACAGAAATTATTAAATATGAAAGCATTAGACCTATCACTAAAAGCTTCAGTCATACAAAACTTATACTTAAATCCTAACTGGTTCTCTAGCAAATTAGTAAAAGATTGTCTCACCCAATGTTCAAGAATGGCCTTTTTCCCTTTATTCAGATTACAACCTCTCACTTTCAGTTATTTGAAAAGGAAATAATCTCCCAAATATAATTATTTCTAAAACAAGCCATAGAAAGTTGGTTGCAATTTCAATTTAATCCTCCAGAAACTACAGAAAAAATTATGCAACAAATATTGTGGTTAAACTCAAATATACTAATTGATAAAAAACCTTTTTATTTTGACAAAATGTTTAAAAAAGGTTTAATCTTCATAAATGATATCATCGGTAGGACTGGTGGAGTTATGCCGCACATGCAGCTAACAAAAACATATGGAAATGTCTGCTCTACCCAAAATTACAACCAAATAATTGCAGCATTACCGCAAAAATGGAAGAGGAAAGTGGAGGGGGGGGAAAAGTAAGGAACTTGTCTGTCGGCCTTGCATTAAAGAACATAATTTGTTAAAGAAAACTGTGATAAATAAAAAAGTATACCAGTTTCATTTAAGGACCAAAGGATTGACAGCCGTCCCATATAGATTGCAAAATAGTTGGGAAGAGATTTTTGACGTACCGATCCCATGGCATAGTGTTTATGAACTGATACGCAAAACGACGAATGTTATTTATATGGGGGATACAATCTTCCCAGCTCTGCAGATTTTGCTGCGAAGAGACAGAATCATTAGATCATTTATTTTGGTACTGTCCATTTGTAGCTTGTTTTTGGACACAGGTCCAGGAATGGGATTGCAATATTTACCTGGAGCTAACCCTGCAGATAGCATTACTGGGTGATCTGAAAAGTCATAGTCAATCGATCAATAATATAATAATACTTTGAGCAAAAAAAAATATTTTCAATTTACAACCTGTAGAAACAATGAGAATAGAAAGGTTCAGAACTTTTGTTAAACATCACAGTACAGTTGAAAAATATGGCAAATAGAAATCCAATATGTTAAGAGATAGATGGGTGGTGTTGAATGGAGTTGAAGGATGGGACTAATAACAACTAACAACAACAAGATAACTAATAATGTAGGCACGCTGTGTCCATAATAAGTATTTAGGTTATAGGTTGAGAGCTTTTGTGAAAGAGCACAGTTAGAAAGATATGGCATATAGAAGCAAACCGGATGGACATCATGAAAATGATCGGCGAGGTTGAGGGTAGAGGAAGTTCAGGAGTAAAAACAAACAAAATATAATTATTGTAAAATTGACTGTGTCCATAAAATGTATATAGTATGTATAAGCTTGAAGTAGAGGCCTAAGCATTGTTGTTCACTAGTTTACTCCAATTAGGGAAGGGGTGGTGGGGTTGGAAAGTAATAAAGGGAAATATATTTTTTTAAAGGATATGTATGTATGTATGTATGTGTATATATAAATATATATATAATTTATTTTTTTTTGCAAGAAAAAAAAACATATGGGGGATTGGAAGTGATGCAGACAATTACATTCATGGAAGTTACAATCTATCTGCAATATTAAAGCTGATCTACCCCCTAAAAAGTAATAAAATAAAAAGTACTAGTTACCTCCTCCATTTAAAAATGTTTTCTACCATTTGGTGCGTACTGAAAACAACCTTGTTTTGGTCCTCTAGGTTAGGGTTGTCAGATTTATCTCAGGGGTCGATTCCCATGGGGGGTATGAAAAAAAAAAGAAAAGAAAAAAAAGTAATGTATGCACTAACTGTAAGTCGCTCTGGATAAGAGCGTCTGCTAAATGACTAAAATGTAAATGTAATGTGTTCAATAAGGGTTGAGGTTGGTAATGGCTATTATGTAATATTTTACCATAACATTATCATTTCGCTAAAATACAAGAAAAATGGGGTGGGAAAAACCATAGATCATATCAATGAACTGAAGCGGTTACTAGCACATTGACCAGTTTGCTGCTATATGTTAACACTTAACACCCCTCTGTTTCGCCCTTAGCTCTTCGACCACATTGCTGAGTGTCTTGCTAACTTCCTGGAGAAGCTGGGGATCAAGAACCAGAAGCTTCCTCTTGGCTTCACCTTCTCCTTCCCCTGCCAGCAGACCAAACTGGATGAGGTGAGGAATAAGGATGGGGACCATTGAGGACCGCATTAGAATTGTGATTTGGAGATTTAAGCCTTAAGAATGATCCAGAAGTTTTCATTGCCTGTGCGTGTGTGTGTTTATGCAGAGTATTCTGGTGTCATGGACCAAGGGCTTCAAGTCGCATGGGGTGGAAGGGAGAGACGTGGTCAGCCTTCTGAGGAAAGCCATTAAAAAGAGAGAGGTGAGTCAGTGGAAAATGAATGGGCTAAGGTTATGCACCAGTTGCAGCACTCTCTGTGCCTACTACCTTGCCACATCATGCTATTTTCCTTCCATACAGATAATGTATGGCCTCCCAGCAGCCTCCCAGACATTGCGTGCTATAAAAGTAATGTGACCATCTGATAAGTTATGCTGAAATTATAAACTATAAACTGGGTTATAAATTATAAACTGGGTAGATCAGCTTTAATATTGCAGATAGATTGTAACTTCCATGAATGTAATTGTCTGCATCACTTCCAATCCCCCATATGTTTTTTTTTTCTTGCAAAAAAAAAGAAATTATATATATATTTATATATACACATACATACATACATATCCTTTTAAAAAATATATTTCCCTTTATTACTTTCCAACCCCACCACCCCTTCCCTAATTGGAGTAAACTAGTGAACAACAATGCTTAGGCCTCTACTTCAAGCTTATACATACTATATACATTTTATGGACACAGTCAATTTTACAATAATTATATTTTGTTTGTTTTTACTCCTGAACTTCCTCTACCCTCAACCTCGCCGATCATTTTCATGATGTCCATCCGGTTTGCTTCTATATGCCATATCTTTCTAACTGTGCTCTTTCACAAAAGCTCTCAACCTATAACCTAAATACTTATTATGGACACAGCGTGCCTACATTATTAGTTATCTTGTTGTTGTTAGTTGTTATTAGTCCCATCCTTCAACTCCATTCAACACCACCCATCTATCTCTTAACATATTGGATTTCTATTTGCCATATTTTTCAACTGTACTGTGATGTTTAACAAAAGTTCTGAACCTTTCTATTCTCATTGTTTCTACAGGTTGTAAATTGAAAATATTTTTTTTTGCTCAAAGTATTATTATATTATTGATCGATTGACTATGACTTTTCAGATCACCCAGTAATGCTATCTGCAGGGTTAGCTCCAGGTAAATATTGCAATATCAGACCATATACCACGGATACGACAAAACATGTATTTTAACTGCTCTAATTACGTTGGTAACTAGTTTATAATAGCAATAAGGCACCTCTGTGGTTTGTGATATATGGCCAATATACGACGGCTAAGGGCTGTGTCCAGGCACTCGGCATTGTGTTGTGCATAAGAACAGCCCTTAGCCGTGGTATATTAGCACGAGAGTCTTGGTACATTTGAAGATCCCCAAGAACACAGTGGCCTCAATCATTCTTAAATGGAAGAAGTTTGGAACCACCAAGACTCTCGTGCTTCTACATCTGCATTGTCACGGTTTCGGCCGAGGCTGCTCCTCTTCCTTGTTCGGGCAGGCTTCGGCGGTCGTCGTCTCCGGAGTACTAGCTGCCACCGTTCTATGTTTCATGTTCTTTTGGTTTTGTCTGTTTCATAACACCTGTCCCTTATTTGTGTCTTAATTGTTTCCCTTATTTAGTTCGTCTGTTTGGGTCAGGTGTTATGCGTGATTGTCTTGTTGTCAGCTGTTGCTCGATATTTTGAGTCGCTCGTATGTATTACGAGAGTTCGCACTGCGTGCGCTTTTCTTGTTTTCTCCGCCCAGTGTTTCGTGCGTAATCTGTTTGCGCCACCCGGTTGGGTTGACGTTTCTTGTCTGTCAGACTTGACTAAAGTTCTGTGATAGTCCTCCTGGTTTCCTGCGTTTGATTCCTTCCTCATCTACACACACCACTCTGACAGAATCACGCATCACCACCATGGAATCAGCAGGAGCGACCGCGCCGACGGCCGAGATGGCTGAACGTCTTCGTGGTCAGGAGGACCGCATCAACCAGGTCTGTCACGCCCTGGAGGGGGTGATGAATACTCTGCACCGATGGGAGACCAGCGGGGTTCCCACACCTCCAGGAACCGAACCAGCCCCATCGGCCAGCCCCCCCGTCTCATCTCCGGAACCTAGTGGGATTCGGCTCTCGCTCCCGAGGGCGTACGACGGCTCCACTGCCGGGTGTCAAGGATTCCTGCTGCAGGTGGAGCTCTACCTCGCCACCGTCCACCCGGCGCCCTCGGGACACGAGAGCGTCTCAGCCCTCATCTCCTGTCTCACCGGCAAGGCGTTGGAGTGGGCCAACGCCGAGTGGAGGAGAATGGACGCCGCTACTACGAACTATGCGGAGTTCTCCCGCCGCTTCCGTGCTGTGTTCGACCATCCACCGGAAGGGAAGGCGGCGGGGGAACGTCTGTTCTACCTCCGACAGGGGATGAGGAGCGCCCAGGACTTTGCCTTAGAGTTCCGGACCCTAGCGGCTGATGCAGGGTGGAATGAGCGGGCCCTTATCGACCATTTCCGCTGCAGCCTCCGGGAGGACGTCCAGCGAGAGTTGGCGTGCAGGGACACGTCGTTGACGTTCGACCAGCTGGTCGACATGGCCATCCGGCTGGATACCCTGCTCGCCACCCGTGGGCGTCCCGGAGGGGGGGGTTCGTTCATTCCACTCTCCAGCACCTCCGAGCCGAGCCCTATGGAGCTCGGAGGTGCTGGCGCTAGGGAACGGAGGAGGAGGAGCCCGAGGGGACCCGGCCCTTGCACCAACTGTGGTCGTGGAGGACACACCGCGGCTAGGTGTTGGGGCGGGTCCTCCAGTGAGGGAGATGGCAGGTCACGCATTGGGGGGTCCCCCCAGGTGAGTAGGCGCCCTGCTTACCCAGAGCTTTCTGTCGTGCACCTAACCTTGCCTGTTTGTTTCCCACAGGTTGCACCTCGTTCCCAGCATAAGGCGCTGGTAGATTCAGGCGCAGCTGGGAATTTTGTAGATCGCCAGTTCTGTATAGAGTTAGGGATTCCCCTCCTTCCAGTGGATAAACCTTTCCCCGTCCATGCCCTAGATAGCCGTCCGTTAGGGTCTGGGTTGATTAGGGAAGTCACAGCACCCATTCAGATGACGGCGCAGGAGGGTCATGAGGAGAGAATTCAGCTCTATCTGATTGACTCTCCTGCGTATCCGGTAGTGCTGGGTCTTCCCTGGTTGATGACTCATGACCCTATAATTAGGTGGCGAGAGAAAGCTCTTAAAGGGTGGTCTGCTCAATGTGAGGGGCGGTGTCTGGGTGTTTCCATAGGGGCGACCTCGGTGGAGAGTCCGAATCTAATGCCAGCACTGCAGATTCCCCCCGAGTATGAGGATTTGGCACTGGCGTTCAGTAAGACTCGGGCGGCGCAGCTGCCGCCTCATAGACGGGGGGATTGTGCGATAGATCTCCAGTCAGGAGCAGCTCTCCCGCGGAGCCATGTGTATCCCTTGTCTCAAGAGGAGAGAAAGGCTATGGAGACATACATCTCTGAGTCTCTGAGACAGGGATACATACGGCCCTCCGTTTCACCCGCTTCCTCAAGTTTCTTTTTTGTAAAGAAAAAGGATGGAGGTCTGCGCCCGTGTATTGATTACCGCGGTCTCAATCAGATCACAGTGAAGTACAGCTATCCACTTCCTCTGATTGCGACTATGACGGAGTCACTGCACGGTGCGCAGTTCTTTACAAAATTGGATCTTAGGAGCGCATATAACTTGGTACGCATTCGAGCGGGCGATGAATGGAAGACAGCGTTTAGCACGACTTCCGGACACTACGAGTATCTAGTCATGCCATATGGGTTGATGAATGCTCCCTCAGTCTTCCAATCCTTCGTCGATGAGATTTTCCGGGACATGCAGGGACAGGGAGTAGTTGTGTACATCGACGACATTCTGGTGTATAGTCCTACCCGTGCTGAGCATGTAGCCCTGGTGCGCCGAGTATTGAGGAGGCTGTTGGAGCATGACCTATATGTCAAGGCAGAGAAATGTCTGTTTTTCCAGAAGTCGGTCTCCTTTCTGGGTTACCAGTTGTCTGCGTCAGGGGTGAAGATGGAGGTAGACCGGGCGTCAGCTGTGCGTAATTGGCAGACCCCAACCACTGTGAAGGAGGTGCAACGGTTCTTGGGTTTTGCGAATTATTACCGGAGGTTTATCCGGGGTTTTGGACAGGTGGCAGCTCCCATAACGTCTCTGTTAAAGGGGGGTCCGGTGCGCTTGCGGTGGTCAGCTGAGGCGGACAGGGCATTTGGGAGACTAAAGGACCTGTTTACCTCGGCGCCGGTGTTGGCGCATCCGGATCCTTCTTTACCGTTCCAAGTAGAGGTGGACGCGTCAGAGGCCGGGATAGGGGCCGTTCTTTCACAGCGTTCTGGCACTCCACCTAAACTCCGTCCCTGTGCGTTCTACTCTAAGAAGCTCAGTCCGGCGGAGCGGAATTATGACGTAGGAGACAGGGAGCTGTTAGCCGTGGTACAGGCCCTAAAGGTGTGGCGGCATTGGCTCGAGGGGGCTCAACACCCTTTCCTCATTCTAACTGACCATCGTAACCTGGAGTACATCCGGGCAGCTAGGAGACTGAATCCTCGCCAGGCTCGTTGGACTATGTTCCTAGCCCGGTTTGTGTTTAAGATCACATACATCCCTGGGTCCCAGAACGGGAAGGCAGATGCTCTGTCTCGGCGGTATGACGCAGAGGAGAGGTCAGTTGAGTCCACGCCCATACTACCGGAGTCTTGTCTGGTTGCTCCGGTGGTGTGGGAGGTTGATGGTGAGATCGAGCGGGCGTTACGCACCGACCCGAGTCCTCCACAGTGTCCTGTGGGTCGGACGTACGTTCCGCTCGAGGTACGCGATCGCCTCATTTGTTGGGCTCATACGTCCCCCTCCTCTGGCCATCCGGGTATCGGCCGGACAGTGCACTGCCTTAGCACGAAGTACTGGTGGCCAACGTTAGCTAGGGATGTGAGGATTTATGTCTCCTCCTGTTCGGTGTGTGCCCAGTGTAAGGCGCCCAGACATTTGCCCAGGGGTAAGTTACAACCCCTGCCTATTCCACAACGACCCTGGTCCCACCTCTCGGTGGATTTTGTTACCGACCTCCCCCCCTCACAGGGGAATACTACCATCCTGGTCGTTGTGGATCGGTTCTCTAAGGCCTGTCGTCTCCTTCCCATGCCG